TTCCTCCCTAATCCCCCCCTCCCTCTTCGATCCTCTCTCCTCTTCCCTCCTCCCTCGTTCCTCTACTCGGCACGCGGTAAAGCCTGATGGCCAGAAACTGAAACTATCCTACTGTACTCGCCACCTGGCAAACGCCTGGGGGGCGAACAAATGTGCTAACCCACTCTCCTCGCGACGTGGCAACGCTTGCGGGACTTACACAAATATTGTTCCGCGCGAATTGCCCGGCGGAAGCGACGGGGGAGCGAAACACAAACTGCTCCACCCCACGACTCGCTACGTGGCTACGCCTGCCATGCTAGGCGGAACACACATTGTTCGCTCGACTCGTCACATGGCCACATCGGGGAACCGAAACAAATACTGCTCCACATTCCCTACCACGTGGCGGCGCCTGCGGAACGAAACAGAAGTACTCCACTCGACTCGGCACGTGGCAACGAAGCGGGGGGGCAACAAATGCTACTCCTCTGTACTCGCCGCATGGCAGCGCCACGTGGCAAGGCCTGAGAGGCACACAGAAATACTAATCCACTCAACTCGCCACGCGGCAACGGCATGGGGAGCGAACGAAACAGTAAAACTAGTCTCAACCATCACGTGGCAATGCCGCGCGGACCGAACATAGACAATCCCACTGCAATCGCCACATGGCAGCGTCTGGGGGGGGGCAAACATGAAGATTACATTATATTCGTCACATGGGCGCGGGGCGGGAACACATAGAGCGCCAACCCGTTCGCTACGGGGCCACGACAGGCCGGCGAACAAAATACAATACAACTTTGCGCGCAACGTTGGGCGCACTTCGAGGGCTGTGGGCTGATCGATACCCCACGCCTGCCCGCCTCGCCGCTTGGGGGAAAGACATTCTGCCCCACTGTTCTGCGTGTGAGTCGAAGGATGGATCTTTCGGGCATTTCTGGTGTGATTGTCCTGCGCTCTTGCAGCCCGACGAGAGCGAATCGTTGGCTGGGGCTGAGGTTTTGTGCGAACGTCACACGTCTCATCGGGATGCTCTTCGAGCGATTGGACACCGTCCCCCGCTAGATCCTGACTGCGACACTTTATGTATATATATATATATATATATATATATATATATATATATATATATATATATATATATATATTCCTCTTCCTATATTTTTACAAGCCCGGGCGGCCGCAAAACCCCGCACCCCCCCCCCCCCCAAACCGGACTCCTGGGATCCTGGGACTTTGGGACCCTCCGGACGCCCATTGAAGCGGTCCCGAGTGCCTCAAGAGCGCTCCAAGACAGGCACAAAGCGCTCCAAGACGCCAAAGATAGCCCCAGGACAGCCTCAGGAGCCCCCAAGACGCCCCAAGCGGCCCCAAAGAAGCCCCCCAAGACGGCCCCGGGAGGCCGAAATGGTCAATTTTCCGATGTGTTTTTCGATGTTTTCTGCTTTCTCGCCATTTTAGCTTTCCGACGCTCCAAGACAGAACTAGAGGCCCTCAAGAGCGCCCCACCAAGACGGCTCTGGAGCGCCCCGAAACAGCCCAAGAGGCGCCCAAGAAGGCCCAAGAGGGCCCCGAGAAAACTTCAAACGAGCCCCCGCAGGGCGATCAAAAGTTCAAACATCTAACTTTCCGCCCCAAGTGGGCCCCAGGAGGCCCCAGGAGGGCCCCAAGAGGCCCCAAGAGGCTTCCAAAGGCCCCGAGGACTCCCAAAAAGAACCCACGAGGCCCCCAAATGGCTCTCCAAAAGGCAGCCAAAACGGCCCCCCAAGAGGCTTCCAAACTGCTGAATCGCCCCACTTGACCGCCACCTCCGGAACGGCTTCGCTGCGCTGCTCCGTTGTTTGCCAGACAGTGGCATCCCACGCAAAACACCAAAATGCTTGAAATCCCGGGTTCGCAACCAAATTCCCGGGAAATCGGCTGCGAACCCGGGATTCGGCACATTTCCCCGGAATTCGGTATATGTCCTTAGCATTTCCAGGATCCGGTACGTTGCCTGCATGCTTGCTGCCCTATGCCCTATCGCATCCCAGAATAATCGTTCCATGGAGGTTTCACGAGGGCAGCCGCAGCCCCCTGGTCTGTTTCCATATGTGATCGCAAGGCATCTCCGTTTGTCTCACCCCCATGCGCAAGTCGAGACAGCACGCCGCCCCAATGCGTGCCTTACCTTACCTTACCTCATGATATTCCTCCCTTCGCCGCGCCTCCCCAAATCGTCCTCCACTTCTTTCCCGCCCCTTCTGTCCGACGTTTTGTATTTCCGGAGCCTCCACGGCCGCTCTCATCGCCGCTGATCGGTCCGCTGGGACATTCTCATGGAGTCCCAGTGGCGCGCGGACAAGCAAAGCGAGGGCGCGAGCAAGTAAGGTGCAGGTCCGGGAACTGGGCGCGAACCAACCGCGGTTCCAAGACCGTGGAGGGCCGCGCTAGACGCCAACGCGCGCAAGGGTTGAAGGACCAAGGTGCATGGCGCGAAGCGCCAATGCAGTCTTGTATATATATATATATATATATATATATATTATGGGCTTCTTAAGCTCTCTGTTCAGCTTCCATCCCCCCCGCCTGAGACTTCCGAGGTTTGGGAGTGGGGGGGCGTTGGTGGGGAGTGGGGGCCTGTCATCTTCGGGGATGGAAGCGCACAGGCCCCAGCCGTGCCAGAGGCACGGAGGGCTGGATGGGCCATTGTTAAATTAGATGCTACGCTCTATCCTATTCGGGCCGTGCTCGGATCGCTGGAGGGGGCCATTCAAACCGTGGCTCGTGCGGAGAGAACCGCGCTGCTCCACGCCTTTCGGCGAAACCCGCTTTTGGAAGTGTTTGTTTCGGACCTGCTTCCCCTTGTTCAGGAAGGGAAGGCTTGGGACCCTGATAATGCTTGTGGAATGAAGAGGTACGCCGCGATATGTTCTGTTTTCGCGGCAGCCACGCATCTGCCTCCTGATGTTCCTCCCACCTCCTTCGTGTGGACTCCTGCGCACCTTAGTCTTGAGGAAGTCCTCGGGCGAGGGCTCGACCCTGTCACTTGGATTGGCAATGCTTGGGCGGATCTTTTGCCAAACTGGCTTCGACTCGTGTGATGATTGCTCGTACGATGGCTGAGGCGGTTGCAGGTGAGCTCAAGTCTCACCAAGCCACAATTGAGTACATTGCTTGGGCTGCGGCCAGTTGTCAGGTTGAAGTGTTGTACCGACACCCCGCCGTCCCCAGACGTTTACAAGGATCCACCTCTGCCGCAACTCACCTTGCATGGACACACTTTCTTGCAGAATGATGGTGCTGGCGAGGTGCGCTGTGTCTCGTGCTTTGTCGGTGCCTGGACGACCAGCACGTTGAATCATCTGTGCAACGGCCCGCCCAAACTTTGTCGGCCCACGGCTGTCACGGCCTTAAAAGGCCAAGAGTGGCTCCGATCCTGCGGGACTCGAGCTCGGCCTTCAAAGGCTGCTGCTCTGGCGGAGGCGGACCAAGGCCTTGTGGCTACTGGTCTGCCTCCGCCTCCCCCTCCTCCGGAAACCCTACGGGAGCTGAGGGGGCTGTTGCCATCCGTACTTTTAATGAACGCGGTCATTCTGTTCAGAGGCGTGGCCGTGTCTTGATCTGTGCCAAGTGTGCTGTTTTTTTTCTGGTGCTGCCTCATGAACTCGAGAGGGCTCTGAAAGTTCTGTGTTTGGGGCCGTCCCGGACCTCCTCGACCCGTGACAAGCAGCTCCGAAAATTGGCCAAAACTGCGAGAAGCCTCCACCCGTCCACAGGCGAAGCCCTGCAGGATGGCCCTGCACTGCTCGGCCCTGCTCTCAGCCAGCCGTCGAGGTCCCTCCGAATGGAGGAGGCCGTCTCCCCTGGGGGGTGGAGGCTCGGGTGGAGCGGGCGAGTGGGATCTCGGATGATGCTGACAAACCTTTATCGGCATCGTCCTCGGCTTTGGTCCGTCGTCGTCGCCGTGCTGCCTGTCTGCCGCCGCTGGCGACCGCTCTTGAAATTCTAGCAAGACTGTCTGGTGCGCCCTGCTACGTTTCGCGTTCTTCCTTTTCTGTTTGCCTAGCCTGATGGCGTTCGTTACCCTGCGGACTCTCTCCAGTTGGCGCCCACCGCCCACCACCTCCTCCTCCCCTCTCCATTTAAGGCCGTACAGTCACTGTGCTACCGCAAGGATCGCTGCGCAAGGAACGAATGGGGCCTTCTCTGGACACGGCAGGCCTCGGCCACGAAGAGGTCCCCCGAACAGACCGAAGGAATGGCCTGAAAGCCAAAGCCCCTCCCGAACCCAACGTGCTCCGTATTTTAGCGTCTTGACTGCATCGCCAAGTGAAGGGGGTCTGCGCTTTGGGGGGGGGGGGTCCGAATGCCAAACTTGACGCTCATTCTCTGCCTTTTCCATGCCCGTGCTTCCCGGCCAACGATTTCTTCCCATCAGCTCTCAATGCCATCCCTCAGGGTATTGTTTCCATCCCAGATGCTCCGAACCTCCCTCCCTTCCTCATTCCAAGCCGCCTCATTCACCCATCATCGAGCCTGCATGTCGCCCAGGAGTGTGGCAACCGTGCAAGTGGGAAACAGATAACTGCAAGATGAATGTGATACCGTGCAGGTGCGTCACACCAGCGCGGGTGACCACCAGCGCGAATGATCACTGGACCAGAAATCGGACTCGATCAGGCATCTGCGCGTCACGGGCCATCCCGATTTGTGGGGGGACCTGCGTGGGACCGCATGCCTGTCGTGCCCGCGAAAACTGGGAGGCCCTTTGGACAACCACATGGGGCGGTGCTCTTGCAACAAGTCGTCTTTCTGCAACTGTGTTTCGAATCGCTCAAGCTTTCGGTGTGGCGCAACATATGCTGCACCCAACTTGTATACGAACACATCACGGGCGCCTGCGAGGGTGAAGCCGTGTGGAAGCAAACCAATCGTCTCGTGCGAAAAAGTGCCCCAGGGCCAGCCAAACCCAAGACAACCAGGCGTACGCGGAACAACTTCCGCCCTTTATCCCCTTCCGCCGAGTGGGGTACGTCACGCCTTCTCGTTGCTTCTGCTGCATGCGCTGCATGTCGAACGTCACTCCACGGTACATCCGCTCCTTCTCGAAGAACCTGGCAGTCGTTCGAGCGGATGCTGCCTGCTGCTCGCTGAACCCAGCTCCTCTCGGCACCCTGCCCATTTGTTCCCCTGACTGCGTGGTGACGGGGCCCCGCAGGATGACCCCCAAAATTTCAAAAAAACGGGCAACCCCCCCTTGGGTCCTTGGGGCTCTTCTTCTGCCCCCAGTAGCTCCTCCACGTCGTTCTGTGACCGCGCTCTCTCAGCGAGAGAAGGGGGGGGAGATCGAGAGGGAGAGAGAGAGCGCAAGAGAGAGAGAGAGAGACATACGAACAAACAAGGAGGGTGAGGGGGAATGGAAGCTTGCAACGCCTCCCCCCTCTCCCTCCCCGTGGTGCCCTCCCACTCCTCCCACACGTCTAAACTAGACCTCTGATGCCGAAACCCTCTCATTCCGCAACGGCATCAAATGCAATAGACATCACACGTGCCGGGGTCGCGCAACGCACATGCATTAAGGACACCACAGGGGTCAAAGTGACATGGCGGAGGAACATGATGCGGTCTGTGATAAGGTGGAGGCCGACAAAACATGGAATCAAGAGGGGGATGCAACATGCGAGTGCTGATTGCCCACACATTGCCCAGGGGTGCGACCTGCTGAAGTACGCGTACGTCATTGTGCACAGGGATGCCACGGACGCCACGCCCAAATACATCTTGGGGTTCTGTAGACAGTCTTTGGCTCCATCCCGGGCGCCGCAGAGAAGGACTCAGAGAGGGAGAGCGATCTGTGATTGCAGATGTATACAAATAGATAGAGCGGGCGAGAGGAAGAGAGAGAGAGAGAGAGAGAGAGAGAGGGAGAGAGAGATAGAGAGAGCGAGAGAGGGAGAAAAAAAGAGAAAGAGAGAGAGAGAGAGAGAGAGCGAGGGAGAGAGCGAGGGAAAGAGAGAGAGAGAGAGAGACGCACAAAAAACAAGTGAGGTGGATATATGTAGAGAGAGAGAGAGAGAACAAAACAAGAGAAAGAGAGAGAGAGAGAGAGAGAGAGAAAGAGAGACAACAAACAACAATAGAGAGAGAGAGAGAGAAAGAGAGCGAGAGATAGGGGGGGAGAGGGGGGAGATAATGACAGACAGGGGGCGAGAAACAGAGAGAAAGAGACCCGCATACTGATGTATGTACATACGGGTGTATGTACATACTGTGTGTACATACGGATTTGTGTTATTTCTTCTTAAGCGTCGGGGTTCCAAACCACCCCGTTTAAATTATCTCATATTCAATAATGGCAGGATATCCCAAATTCAGAAATCCCGGCTCTCTGTTCCGACTGCTGCTGACCCAAACCGCTAATATTCTAACTGGGCAAAGGGGGGCAGCTTGGGGCGGTCGGGACTGGGGTCAGCCTTCGCTCGCCCGCTCGCGCGGAAGCAACGGACGAAACCTGCATCATTTTGGCGCTCCTACAACCCCCTGGATTAAAAAGTGGAGACCGCAGGGGCCGAGGTAGACGTGGTTTGCCTCCCGTTAGGCAGCGGGGCCCCGGGACAATGTTGGATTTGTTGCCAATTCCGGAGTTTCCGGTGCCTCCATCACCCCTTTTAATATTATAAAGGCCAAATGGGGCTCCGACCGGAAAGTGGGATTCTGCCTAGGACTTCCTCAAAAAAAGTTTCCGGTCGCCTTCCAGGGCGACCGGAAATTCTGCCATGCCACCGGAAAGTGGCGATTCCGCGTGGGACTTCCTCAAAAAAATATTCCGGTCCCTTTTGAGGCCGCCAGACAGTGGCGATTTCGCGTGGGACTTCCTCACACATTACTTTTTGTCGCATCTCATGCCACCAGACAACGACGATTTCGCTTGAGACTTCCTGACATTCGAGTTTCTGGTCTCATGTACGCTCACACAGACGCCGCGGACCTATTCCTCTTCCCACTCTCTCCTCTTATCATCACAGTATTGGATTGTTCCGTGTCGCATGCTCTCCGTGCAAGTCAGATTCCAGTTGCCACAGCCTCGCGCGCGCGGTCCTATCTGCGCCTGGGCGGATGTCCGCAGGGATGGCCGTTGCATCGTTCGGTTCACAGGTTTGTCTTGGAGTCATCTTGAGGCCATCTTGAGGTCGCGTCGGGTCGCAGGCCCCCCTGTGGGAGGTTCGATCCCAGGGTCATTTTGGGGCGACGCGGTTGACCCAGGATGTACGGTCCAGAATCGACGATCCAGGATCGATGATCGAGGATACACGATCGATGACCCAGGACCGACTGTGGAAGAGCGAACCCATATCGATCGGAAACGAGGCTTTGGGTTCCACGGCCGATCAAAGTTCGACAACCACCTAGCGATTGAGGGTCGGAGATCGAGGGTCGAGGATCCAGGGCCGTTCGGACATCGAGGAGCCAGGATCGAGCGGCCACGATCCGTCGAAGTTCGACGCTGGATGGCCGATCGAAGAGCGACGATCGAGAACCGATGTTCCAGGCTTGATCGAAACTCCAGGCTCCAGAATGCCTGGCCGATCGAACATCCATGATCGAGGTTCGATCGAGGCTCGAGGATCGAGGATCGAGGGCCCCAGATACTTCGAGGGTCGAGGATAGAGGTCCGGTCGAACAGCGACCATCGACTTCCCAGGATCCAGTCCCGATCGAAAGTCGCGGCTCGAAAGCCGAACGACGGACGAATACCAGGATGCGGTTCTTTCGGTGTAGCTCCGATCTCAACTTTTTAATCCAGGGGGTGGTAGAAGACGTGACGAACTCTTGACCGGCGCAATATAGCGTATGTATGTATGGAGGGAGCAAGAGAGAGAGCGAGAGAGAGAGAGCGAGAGAGAGGGAGAGAGAAACATACATATATGATTAGACAGACATGGCGAGAATAAGAGCTCCAACCTAAGAGCCTGGCCGCCCACAATAATCGGCCATCTATTCTCGCCAAAGCACTACAAGTTTTGCGAGAACCTCCTCAATGCAAACACTGATTGGGAACCTTGCAGTGGTCGGACGATCAGATGAAGAAGAGTGGGGGGATGTGTAAGACGCGGGCGACTCCAAGTGTGAGTGTTGATGAAGGCCCCAAGGTGTACACTTTGCCGTGTGAGTTTCCACTCGCGAGAACTTGGGCTTCTTACTTGGACTAAGCGTGACGACTGCTGCGCCCTCGAAAGGTGGTGATACGAGCCTGGTCGACCGGGTGCCATGATACATCGGAACGAAAAATGAACACACACGCGCGAAGTCGAACTTTCACTACTAGCACACAAGCAGGTGAATGACTGAGTGCGAGCCAAGAGAGTCCCACCAACGCTCTGGGCGAAAATGGTATACTCTGTTTTCTCTTCCCTTCTATTACATAACCCCCTTCTTCTATCCGGAGAAGGGTCGAACCCTCTCCCTACCCCCTGGGTCTGGGAAAAGGGGGTGGGACCGATCTGGCAGACACCCAATTCGCCGACTTTGCCTCCCAAGCCGCTCAAAATAACCCAATATCCCAAAATTGTTCACGATAGCTTCCGACATGCCTCCAGCAGGTCTCACTTGTGCCACTCTACGGCTCAAAATGGCCCCACAGCCTCCCAATGACCCCCTTAAAAACCCAACATCGCTTCAAATCCGATGACACATCCCTGCTTTTTGTTTTTCTTTAATTTTTTACACCCGTGGAGCCTCTGAAGCTTCACGATGACTCCAAGGTGGCCCAACAGAGCTCCCATCGGGTTCCAGGACGGCCCCAATATGCCACATTTCGGTCTCCGAGAAGGGGGGGCCCGAACTAAAGACCACCCCTGTGGAGCTATGGGTCCCGCGATCGCCACAAAACGTTCCCCCCAATAGCTTCTCTGGAGGGTCCCATGCCTCCCAAGCCGAGCCCGAAGATGGCCCAGGGAGGCCCCCAACATGACTCCAAGAGTCCTCCAAGAAGCTTCGACAGCAACGGATCTGCGAAGGTCTCCTCTTCCCCCTCCTTCTCCTTCTCCCCCGCATTATCATTGTCCTCTTCCTCCTCCACGTCGTCTTGATGCTCCTCCTCCTTCTCCTTTCCTGTCATGAAACGCAAGAAACCTAGGTTTCCGCTTTTGGCTATGAGCTTTACAGAGTCCCGGAAACCGATGATCCACGCCGCCGCTGCGCAGTCGTCCTCCCGGAGCCCACCGTGTGTCTGGATGATCACGTTGGACCGGTCCAGCGTGAGGGCGCTCGTCTCGTAGCGCACCCCCCATGTCTTCCGCTTGTCCATGGTGAGGTCGGTTAGCCCGTCTGCGACGCGGTTGTGGCAGCGCCGCCACCATTGGACGGGGTCTTCCTGCAACTGGGGCGGACGCCACCCTTTGCCCATGTGCAAAATAATCTGGTCCAACACCCGGGATATCAGAGGGTCGTAGGTCCTGTCGTGGAGAATAGTCCGCCCGCGTACCATCTGCTACAAAGATTCGGAGTCTGTCGCGTAGAGAAAGAAAGTGTCTGCACGGCGACGCCCAGCATATTTTGGATGCCAATGTATCTTGGAGCTCGTCCACCTCGGGCTCCAGACTTCGGAACTTGAGGCATTATTTCGCCTGTCCGTGGCCTGTCCGGCTTCGTTTTGCTAGGGGCTGCCTTGGGATCTCGTTCTCGTTCTCTCGCAGATCGCACACGGGTAGATGCCACCGTGCGCAAACGTGGGCCACGGAGGCTTTGCCCCGGCGTTCCCGGTCCACCCGTGTATGCTCATCCCTCTGGCCACACCAATCTACGCCGAAATACTCCAAGAGAGGGTCCCCCCATGCTGCTCTGAGCCCACCGGATCGTTGTACAAGTCTTTCCTCCCGTCTTCGCTTGCAAGGCGCCCCCCGCGCCAACATCCACACGTCGCGTGCATTGTAGGAACGGGCCCTCCTGACAATAATGGAATCACCTGTTCCAGCACCTTGCTCGCGAAAAGAAGCTTCGGCGGAATAGCTCTCCATGACGGCCACGTGGAAAGGCTTGTGCTGATGATTGGCAATGTTTTGCCTGATCCGGGCAGCCATTCGTCGCATAGACTCCACGTGATCTGCGTCCGGCTTCCGACGTAAACGCAGTGCTCGCCTCAACCATCGGAGCTCCCAGGTCAAAATCTTGTGAAAGAGGTCCCTTGTCAAGTGCCACGTGCAAGCGCCAAGTGACGCTGATGATCGGGGTCCCCGGCGCCAGGCAGAACAATTGCTTTCTGCATTCCCCCCAATATGTAAACCATGCTGGTGGCCGTGCTGCTGTGATTATCGATCATCTCACCCAAGACCAGCATGCGGTCCACTGCTGTGAAAATCATGATGCCTTCCCTTCCCCTGCATACCACATTGTCCAAGGTGTCGGTGACGGCGTCCCCCCTTCCCTTGACTTGTAAAGAAGACTCTTTCCATTTGAAACCCCCGGCGTAAATCGCAGCCGTAGTCTCTGCGATCATGGTTTCCAAGACTTCCTGGGCGTCTGCCAGCAGCCAGAGGTTTCCTCCTCCTTCTCCTCCCCCTCCTCCCACCATGCATCCAGGAAGCCTCCACGAGGCTTCCAAGTCAACCCGCTTGAACATCAATTCTGGATGCAATGCATGCTCTTCCGTATGGGGTCTTCCGTTGTCGGTCGGATTTCAGTTTTCCAGAAATCCTTCTGGGCGGCTATCCCACAGCATGCTATTGCATTGCCTTGATCAGGGCAACGCGCTTATGCACCGTTTCTGAATGGTCAGCTGGCTGCTCATGTCCCTGACCCCGGTCTTGTTCCTGTGCCATCAAGGGCCCCCGGGAGTGAATCAAAACACTGCAATACTGAACGCAAGTGTTTCCACGAACTCACCCCGAAAGGGCCCTTTAACCTGCTCCACCCTATGTTCCCTCTCGTGCCCCCTGCCACTGTGTCGCATTATCCTCTTCTTTCGTTTCTTATCCCTCCTCCTCCACCTCCTCCTCCTCCTCCTCATCCCTCTGAAGTCGAGACCCCCAAAAGGGACCGAGAGGGAAGCACATCGCAGCAAAAACGCACGGAGCCCCTCAAGAATCCCTGAAGAGGCGAACGTCGTCCAAAACCAATGTTACAATTCCCTTGTCCACACAACTCGACAAAGAAACGTTGATGGATGGGCCGGTAGGGATACTTTTTGGTACGCGGGCGCGCGAAACGAGTCGAACGCCGTGCAAGCAAGGGAACGGGTGGGGATACTTTTTTCGGTCGCGTCCACCAGCGAAGGCGCTAGCGGAGTCAGGAGCGCTACGGGAGACGCAAGCGGCCTAATTAGCGACTAAACGCGCCGCAGGCCGGCCGGCCCACTCACCAAGCAGCGGCTGGCTGCGCGGGGAGACGGCGAGCTGAGGGCGTCCAGGGAAGCGCGAGCACTTGCAGCCCAGCAAAATGCGGAGAAATTGGAGTTGTGCCGTGAGGCAAGACCCACACGAAGCACGAGGACGAGTGCGGCAGACTGCGTGTCCAACGTGCCGTCTGGGCGTCCAGGGGTGGTAAGCGATGGGCGAGTCGCCAGTGTGGGGCGCCAAGCCCAGGTCGCGCCAACGGCGTGTGCGAGCCAGTTGAGCTGCTCCGCCGAGGAACGTCGAAAACCAGCCTGGGGGGTGGGACAGGCCCGGGGGAGCGGCCGCGGCTGCGAAGGCCGAGCCACTCGAAGCGGCCCGAACTCCAGGGGCCATCATCCCGCGCACCACGGGGAAGGCCCCGAGACTCCAGGGGGCCGACCCTTCCATCAGCTGCGCGAACGCCGGCTGATGTACTGCGTGAGGCCAGGCCGGCGGGGATGAACATCGCCAGCGAGGCAGGGGAATCCAGGGTAGAGCTCGACAGCCGCCTGGATTACGGAAGGGCGGCCACCGTCGAGGCACTGTCTTACCCGTCGTATCTGCCATTCCCCGCGGGGATCCAGGGTCGCAACTAACCGCCGCTATGAGTGAGGTAACTTTACCGCCACCAGTGCGGGGACCTGGTCAGCCCTGGGGGGAGGGGACGATCACCCCCTCGATCCAGGGGTCGGCGAGCCTGGCAGCTGCCCAGCCCGGGAGAGACCCGAGGGGAGGGACGGTGGGGACAGACATCACTGGCCCTCCACGCCGAGGGGCTCCCCAGGGACACCTGGCGAGAGAGGGGGACAAGAGAACGACCACCTCGCGATCCAGGGGCAAGTGACCCCGGCAGCAGCCCCGCCCAGGAGGGACCCGAGGAGAGGGGCGGTGGGGACAGACATCACAGACCCTCCACACGGATCCCAGGGGGACCTGGCGGGGCAGGGGCGCCGCAGCCAGGGCCCGAGCTACGGGAGGCAGCGAACGGCTGCTCAGGGTACTTTGCACTCGTCCAGGGTGGCCTTCGACCTCTTCCGCTTCGATGTCCAAGGGAAGGCTGGGGTGACGGCCGGCTGCCGTCTGAGGTTAGTGCAGCTAACGGCTGCTCAGGGTACGCTTTCACTCGTCCGCGGTGGCCGTCGGCCTCTTCCGCTTCGATGTCCAAGGGAAGGTCAGGGTGACGGCCGGCAGCCGTCTGAGGTGCTGTCGGCATCTGTTCCCGGTAGTAAGACGGCAGTCCGTATGAGAGACAGATGGGCGGTCCTCGTCAGTGCTATGTCCCGCGCCCGTAGTCTCTGCCGCTCCCCGCATGGATCCAGGGTCGCGGCTAACCGCCGCTCTGGGTTGAGTGAAGACGGAGCGTACACGGAGGGTGGCGGCAGACGGCCCTTGGCCGACAGCACCGGGATGCAAGAGTACCTTGAGCTCCCGCAGGATGTCTCGTGCCCGTAGTCTCTGCTACTCCCCGCATGGATCCAGGGTCGCGGCTAACCGCCGCTCAGGGTTGAGTGAAGACGGAGCGTCCACGGAAGGTGGCGGCAAACGGCCCTTGGCAGACAGCACCGGGATGCAATGGTACCTTGAGCTCCCGCGGGAAGTCTCGTGCCCGTAGTCTCTGCTACTCCCCGCATGGATCCAGGGTCGCGGCTAACCGCCGCTCTGGGTTGAGTGAAGACGGAACGACCACGGAGGGTGGCGGCAGACGGCCCTTGGCAGACAGCACCGGGATGCAATGGTACCTTGAGCTCCCGCGGGAAGTCTCGTGCCCGTAGTCTCTGCTACTCCCCGCATGGATCCAGGGTCGCGGCTAACCGCCGCTCTGGGTCGAGTGAAGACGGAACGACCACGGAGGATGGCGGCAGACGGCCATTGGCAGACAGCACCGGGATGCACGAGTACCTTGAGCTCCCGCGGGAGGTCTCGTGCACGTAGTCTCTGCTACTCCCCGCATGGACCCAGGGTCGCGGCTAACAGCCGCTCTGGGTTGAGTGAAGACGGAGCGTCCACGGAGGGAGGCGGCAGACGGCCTTTGGCTGACAGCACCAGGATGCAAGCGTACCTTGAGCTCCCGCGGGAGGTGTCGCGCCCGTAGTCTCAGCTGCTCCCCGCGTGGATCCAGGGTCGCGGCTAACCGCCGCTCTGGGTTGAGTGAAGACGGAGCGTCCACGGAAGGTGGCGGCAGACGGCCCTTGGCCGACAGCACCGGGATGCAAGAGTACCTTGAACTCCCGCGGGATGTCTCGTGCCCGTACCCATTGCTACTCCCCGCATGGATCCAGGGTCGCGGCTAACCGCCGCTCTGGGTTGAGTAAAGACGGAACGTCCATGGAAAATGGCGGCAGACGGCCTTTGGCAGACAGCACCGGGATGCACGAGTACCTTGAGCTCCCGCGGGATGTCTCGTGCCCGTAGTCTCTGCAACTTCCCGCATGGATCCAGGGTCGCGGCTAACCGCCGCTCAGGGTTGAGTGAAGACGGAGCGTCCACGGAGGGTGGCGGCAGACGGCCCTTGGCAGACAGCACCGGGATGCAAGAATACCTTGAGCTCCCGCGGGTCCCTCCCCGCCGGGGGGGCGACGGAACCGGATACGGCCGCTGGACAGGAGCACGCGCGGACCCTTCACTGCCAGTGCGGTGCCACGACGGGGTGCAGCTAACGGCTGCTATTAGGAGACGACCAGCCGTGTTTCTTGCCCTTCTTGGGTGCGCGGGTGTCCGGGTGGCCCTTCGCCGCCTGGCGACCCCTGCCCGCGCCGCCGCTTCGACCCGGGTGCCGATGCCGCAGCTGCGTCCAGTCGACGCCGAGGCCCTGCGCGTCGCTAGCGGCCCGTACGTCGCACTTGTGGTTGCGGAAGGAGTACAAAAAGTGAAGGCAAGTTTGCGGGTCGTGCCGTAACGGGTCGAGCGCGCCTTTGCTCCCAGATGCGGCCTGCTGCGTGGCGAAAGCGTGCCAGGTGCCTGTGAACATTGCCCCCAGGGTGACTTGAAGCCGCCTTATCGCCTCGCCGGGTGTCTCCCCGGGAAGGTCCCACTGGATGGTGCCGATCTTCGCTTTGTAGTACAGCTGCTGTCCCGTGTCGGGGTCTAAGGGCTCTGGCCATTGGCGCGGCTCTGGCCATTGGCGCTGCCGCGTGTTCTGGCCGCAAGTCTCTGGCGAACCAGCCCCGCTGTCCTGGGCGGAGGGGTCGGAATCTGTTTGCGACTGTTCCGGTTGCACGCCTGGCGGGGCCCTGCGGGTAGGCGCGGGTCGCATAGTGCGCCGCCAGGCATGGGCCGGATCACCTCCGTCAGCCCGGGCGGACGCTGCCCTGAGGTGTGCGGGGAGAGGCCCCTTTCGCTGGCGTTCGCCTTCGGGCCTGCGCCCGCCGTCGCTCACGGGCGCGCCCCCTTCAATCGCCGCGAGGCTCTCGCTGGGCGCGGGGGTGCCGCTGGTCGTGCCAGGTGCGTGCACGTACGGCGACGCCGTTTCCTTTGCCAGAGCACGAACTTCTTTGTCAGGCGTGTCCTGGGCGTCTGGAGGGAACGCCTGGGGTTCGCCGTCCATTCGGGCGGGTTCACTGGCAGGGGAAGGAGGGCGAATCGGCGCGAAGGGGTTTCTCCCGACGAGCCGGTGGATGGCTTCGATGTCCTGCGTCTGTAAAGCTGGTCCGTGGTCCCCATGTTTGGTCTGTGGCGCTCCGAGAGGACTGCTGACGGTCTGCCTATTTTGTGGAGAAGGTGGGGGTGGCACGCTGTGGCGGGCGAGCCCCTGCTGGTCCAGGATCTCGCTTCGCGGAGTGTTGCGGCTGCCGCCCGCATTTTCGGAAGCAAACTCCTGTCTACCCGATTCTGCTCCACGGACACGGCTGACGGCTTGCGCCTCATCCGCACCTTCAATGGCCTCCGCCGCTTCAGGCCCCGATCTTCCGCGGCCCCCGCAACTTCCGCCCCTTCCGCCGCATCCTCCATCTCCTTCTCCTTGTCCTCCAGGGTCGCATCTCCTGTCCCAACCGGGCAGCTGGAGTCGAGAATCTGGCTCGGGCACTGAGATGCAAGAGTGCCTTGAGGTCTCGGAGACCGGGCATCAGGGAGCAAAGGTACCTCCTCCTGACCCGTTCCGCCTCCTTCAACACCCGTCGCATCTGCC